TTGCGAGAGCATGACCCACAAAATCTTGTATGTCATCTACAGTCGTTACATCTGATATGAGAGACTTGAAGATGAAACTAGAGGTCATCCTAGGACACGGGAGAACGTGCAGTGATGCTTAGTACCAGCGTCTTGACTGTTCGGAGCGAGAGTGACGATGTTAGTGCGCGCCTCGAGTGACGAAGCCGGGGCGCGGGGGAGGGTCTTATATAGTATAGCGGAGCCAATACGTATACGTATTATTCCTCACCACTCTAGATTAAAAATACTCCCACTTACTAAGTTTATCTTATACGTAATATTATTTTGAATTCATGTTTTTTGTTTTGTTTTTTCAATCTTGAGAGGGGACTATTCTTTACACCATATGGACTAAAGTGGGGGATTAGGTGGTGTGGCAAGTGTTCACGGCGCATCATATCGGTGAACGAAAATAAAGTGACTATAAATTATTCATAGAAAAAAGTACAAATATTGGGTACGGAAAAAAAATCACATTTCATTTATCCCCTTGAATACGGGACGTCACTTTTACTATTTTATTTGGCTAATGCCGGACGAATTTATTCAGCAGTAACAAGTTAGGTTAGGATGTATAGTGGCAAAGGAAACACAGGGTCGGAAAAATAACTTTACTCCTGACATTTTGTTGCGAAGGACTTTCTCAAAGGAATGAACATATGAACATGAACATGAAATGCTAGTGACAGGGGGGAAGGAGGTTCAGGGGAAGAATAAAGGGAGGATTGAAGTGAATTTTAGGAGGAGAGAATAGGTGCAGTGGCTAAACACCGCTTGCGTGAGGGAGTATAAGTTGGAGGCAGCAGCAACTCGCCCGGACGCGGCTAGGAGGCGACAGGACAGAGAACATATGAGTAAACCGTGGACTTATAAAGGGGTCCAGCTTTGTCCCCCCTAGAGGCCCCGATCCGTTCACGTATTCGACCACGGGATCCTCCTTTATGGACCCGCGGTTTACTGTAATCATTAAGTTCATTTCTTAGCTACTATACAAACAATTGTCCATATGAAACACATGTTAGGTTGGATTAGGTTACGCTAGGCTGGGTTAGATTAGGTTAGGTTAGGTTCTAATAGGGTTGGTTAAGTTAGGTTTAGGTTTTGAATATTTTCTAACTACCCCAGACTTAACCTATCTCCCAGGTCTCTAGCTAAACTCTGTGACTCCATTTCGTACAACTTTTTCCCTGTTTTTGTTTAAGTAACTCATATCTGTGACTTTTTTCCTGTTATATCTTCCTACATTCTTGAAACTCAGACTTAGTACCAGCACCAAGGATGTGTCTTGTGGGTCTTTGAGTACGATGACTTTTACCTCTTTGAGTACGATGGCTAACCCTATGAATACGATCATCCTTAAGTCGTCGTGCTCAAGGGGTAAAAGGTATAGTCCTCAAAGGGTTAACGCTATTGTACTCAAGGGGAAAACATCATAGTCCTCAAGGGGTTAGTCATCGTACTCAAGATGTAAAGGTAATAGTCCTCAAGGTGGTTAAAGTCCTCGTACTCAAGGGGTCAAAGTCATTGTACTCAAGGGGTAATCGTAATAGTCCTCAAGGGGTTAAAGTCATCGTACTAAAGTGGTTAAAGTCATCGTACTCAAGGGGTTAAGACTACCTTCCACGTGTTCATTAGTTATTTTGTGTTTACTTGAGGAGTTTGGTATTTCGTAGAGTTTATATACCAAAAAGACATTGGCAGGCCTACTCTGGCAGTCTATACGAAAAACAAAAAAAAGTAAGAATAAGGAATTGCTTTACCACAAGAAAAACTTTAGTATATTAATATGTACTCGTGTTTGAAAGAGATTTAAAACAAAATTGTATACCGATACTATACAAATTATTTTCATCGGCAAGGTCTCATTATTTATCTAATTAATTCATGTTTCTATGTTCTGTATATGTGATGTTTGCAATAAACCGACAACACAACCCAGTTTGGAACAACTGCAGCAGACAGAAGCACAAGCAACATGCAGCACATTGACAACAATAAGAGACCGAGACAAAACAGCAACAAATAAGGTTACTGGGTCCAACAAACACATACGGTTACTGGCTCCAACAAACACATAAGGTTACTGGCTCCAACAAACACATAAGGTTACTGGCTCCAACAAACACATAAGGTTACTGGCTCCAACAAACACATACGGTTACTGGCTCCAACAAACACACATAAGGCATTGGCTCCAACAAAACACATACGGTTGGCCCAAATAAACACATATGTTATTGGCTCCAACAAACACATAAGGTTATTGGCTCTAACAAACACATAAGGTTACTGGCTCCAAATAAACACATACGGTTACTGGCTCCAACAAATACACATACGGTTACTGGCTCCAACAAACACATACGGTTACTTGGCCTAACAAACACATACGGTTACTGGCTCCAACAAACACATACGGTTACTGGCTCCAACAAACACATAAGGTTACTACAAATAAACACATAAGGTTACTGGCTCCAACAACACATAAGGTTACTGGCTCCAACAAACACATAAGGTTACTGGCTCCAAATAAACACATACGGTTACTGGCTCCAACAAACACAATAGGTTACTGGCTCCAACAAACACATAAGGTTATTGGCTCCAACAAACATACGGTTACTGGCTCCAACAAACACATCCAACAACACATATGTTACTGGCTCACATACGGTTACTGGTCTAATAAACACATATAAGGTTACTCCAACAAACATATAAGTTACTCATTCCAACAAACACATAAGGTTACTGCCCAAACAAACACACATGGTTACTGGCTCCAACAAACACATAGGTACTGGCTCCAACAAACACATAAGGTTACTGGCTCCAACAAACACATACGGTTACTGGCTCCAACAAACACATAAGGTTACTGGCTCCAACAAACACATAAGGTTACTGGCTCCAACAAACACATACGGTTACTGGCTCCAACAAACACATAAGGTTACTGGCTCCAACAAACACGTAAGACTGCGGTGGATGAGGCAAGATGCACCTCCTCTCTGCCTGACAATCACTCACTAAGAAATGTCACTTAGTTTTATAATCAGGAGAGATATATTCCCAACGTACATTTAATACACTGGCACTCGTAACAGACCTATAGTACAGCCAATGAGTGAAAGTCTGAAGGGAATTGAGTTATGATATCTCGAAGAATCTAGTTACTGCTTGAGATAATTTGGTTAACCTGGAGATTTACCTCTATTTTAATTCACCTGATGAATAAGACACCATAACGATACCTGGAAAGGGAGGTTTAGGTTAGATTGGGTTAGGTTAGGTTAGGTTAGGTTTTGCTAATGCTTGTCTAGGTTAGGTTAGGTTAGGTTAGGCCAGGCTAGGTTAGGTTAGGCTAGGCTAGGCTAGGCTAGGTTGGGGTGAATCTAATTTATGCAATACTTCAAACTTCCATTACTGTGAGATGTAATGATTATTTTACATTCAAAACATAAGATTCTATACAATGAAAAATTTCTTCACGTATTAAGACAACACGTGTAAAAATGTCTGAGATTTTACTCACGAAAATTCCCTACCGAGTCATACCCGGACGTTCGGACAAGTTTTATAAATATAGATTCTTACTGTTTCAGTGACTCGAGAATAAAAGTATACAATGCTAAGAATTTACCTAAGACGCCGGAATTATTAAAAAATGTAGCATATATTTTCATGAGAGGTGAAATTTTAATCGTATATATAAACCTAATAATTAACAAGCGTACAGACGAACGGCGCGTCTCCAAATTCATAATCGTGCATAACCTGTAATAGACGTGTTCAAACGGTCCGGGTGCCTTCCGAGGAGCATACACGTATATTGCATCAAATACGTACTCGAGGACATGGCTGACCAGTGAGTGTTAGCTGATATATTGTCGATTACATTCCACTTGGACAATCGTTTATTTTAACCTAACCTAACCTGTTTTATGCTATCTAACAGTGGGATGGCACCACATTGTTAGCTTAATGATTATGGTGGTGATATTTATAATTTTAATTGAAGAGTGATATATTAATGGCTGTGTGTGAATGACCTGATATATTAATAATGGCTGTGTGTGGATGACCTGATATATTAATAATGGCTGTGTGTGGATGACTAGTGTGAATATGAACATTTGAATGTCTAATAATACGTATAAATAGGAATGACACAATGGAGCCATGGTGACGTAAGATCAGCTGGTGTGACGTCTAAAAAATGCATTACCTAAATCCGGTCGTGGTAGCTTCGTCACTCACTCACTGTAAGGTTAACATATAAACATCCAGAATGGTAATTGGGGAATAATAGGGATTTTTGTTTATTAGAGGAAATATGATAACTGAAAATTATGTATGAGGACCTCGAAAAACTATCAAACAACTCCATACATTTTTCAGGTAAAGTATAATAATATTTCTTGATTTTAGAAAGATATATGAGTTACGAAGATTTAATAAAGATGCTTAGAAGTTTAGTATAATAATAATAATAATATTATCGACATTACTATATAATACTATGAGCTAGTGGTATTAGACAACTTTTCGTACCATCTTGGTCCAACAGCTATCCATGACTGACTAATGAGTTTTTTTTACAATATTTTTTCTTTTCGAACGCAAGTTATTTCGTGTTAACTTTAGGCTTTGTTCACCTATTAAAACGTGGCACTGGTAGGAACGTGTGGAGTGAGTGTACAAGGACGCGAGTTGCCACTTGTTATTTATTGCTCCACACTTTCTATATGGAAAACTCACAGCCTCTACGTATTCATTTGTATTTTAAATAATTATAAAATTTAAGTAACTACTTCTACCATTTAGTTCATAAAAGTAAGGGTAATAAAAGAAGGAGAGGCCAGTAATTTTACCTTACTTTGAGTTATTTTTGTAGCCCTCTGCTGCAACCGAGGATGATTGAAACGTATTTGTCTCCCGTCCTAAAACGTATATACACAACTATATAAAATCTCGCTTCTCTTGCTCTGTTCAGCAAGTAGTCCTTCCGCCACCAGCTTCACCACTCTCCACTGGACGAGAACTGCTGCTTATGCTTAACAAGAGACTAGTAGTGATAGAGAAAATATTTTAGTGTACGACCAAAAGCAGGAGTTCAGTCTACGTTGGTACTTTCTATGAGTGGAAGAAGGCGTAACTTGCTCTAATGTTGAGTCGTGTTAACAGCAATGGAGGCTTTTGGAGCTATTTTATGTGTGACTGCAGACTTGACAGTGATCACGCGTTAATGAACTCTTCAGTGGATGGAAACAGTGACGTCAACAGAGAGAACACCAGATAGAAAAAAGATGAGGTAAGAAAATTGAAGTTTTTTAGTTGTGTTGATATTGTGTTTGGTTAATAGACTCAGTGTTTTATATAGCTGCATTATATGGGAGAGTGTTGTTGTTACGAGCAATATTGTGAAGTTGTTCATTACTTCTTAGTTAAGTCTGCAATATATCCTTAATATGTTTCAGTATCATGGTTGTGTGTTAAAAGGAGAGAAAATTTACCAATAAGTAGTGTGAAGGTTGCAGTTGTTTTCATTATATATTTCTGAACTAGATTCTCAAACAAAAAATAGATTATTGTGCGTAAAGTTACTGTAGTAGATAATCATACTTTAATTTATTCAAAGTATCAGTTGATTCTAATTAAGGTAAATAGTTTAGAGAAAGTAACTCGAATTCTTACACGGAAGTAAATAATTTGATATCTTGCAGGATGACAGTCAATCAGTGTGTGGCTTTGATTACACAGCCACACCGTCCACCAGCCACTTGTTACCCACCACCTTGCCCATCACCACTCACTCATCTGCCCTCAGTGTTCAGTAGTATACCAGTTAACTCAACCAAAACCAGCGTCACCCAGCCACCAATAACCACCGAGAACTCAACCATAGGCCACCTCCCCCTCACCCATTGGTAAGTAAACTCTGAAATCTTTCTTAGTGTTTTTGTTATATTACTGTTAGTGTCTCCAGGTGAACCCCATAATTGGAAGGGATATAAAAGTTTCAACTGTGTGTGTGGGGGGGGGGGGACTATACATGAGAATAATCAAAGGTAAAATAATATATTGATTTTTTTTCTTCTATTTTATGTGTTTGTATCTTGTGAATCATCGTTATGGAGAGACAGACATTACCATATCCCATGACTGTGTGACGTCACGCTGGGTGGTTATATCTCCCCTCCCCGAGTGGATTTCATTGTTTGCGAGATAGAAAGAAGTTTTGTTGATGACCTTCTCAGAGATCGTGAATATAGTTTCTCATGCATGTTGTATAGTAATGTTTCTAAAGGTGATAAAATAGTTAAAGATGACTTTAAAAAATCTGCCATTCTCAATAAGAGTTTAATATGAATTTCTCCCATTACGTATTATCATTTCCTAAAGTATATTTGTCTTGTTATTAATATTATCTAAAATTACATTGAATGCGATTTTCTCATGAAATTCACCAAATGCCTTAATGTGTTTAAAGACTTAAATAATGTAATTTCAATTCCTGTCTTCAGTTCATATTCTAGCCTTGGTACTAGTTCACGCATTAATCACGATAGCTTTTGAAAGATTGAAAAACTCACCTGCTGGTAGAAGGTCTGTTAGAATGGTTCCTGTAATATAATGAGCCAGGGGCGTCGCCGTACCCCCAGTCGTCTGTGTGTGATAGAGGGAACTGACGCACTTCACGAGCCGTATTTTTAAAAATCATAAATAAACACCAGCGCCGAAGAAAACGATAAAGAATGCCACTTTAAGGGGGTACTAGAACGCCGATAAAAACAATATATTTCATTGGAAATTACGTATCACTCGGTACGGGGGTCTGCTCGTTGGAAATCCAGAGGCGGAGGAGGGTTGTATGTGCTCCAATGTATAGCATAAAGCGAAATATATATTCTCTCTGAAGTTGGTGGTATTTATGGTCGATATAAAACTCTCGTTCCTGGGCTACATTATTGGAACGTCGTCTCTCGCTGCCGTTCCTCAGTCTCCACGTTTCTCCTTTTCTTTCCTTTACTGTTTTCCCATTTTTTTTCTCTTTACTTCCTGTTTTTTTTTCTTTCTTATTTATCATAACTTTGCATTATTTTGTTGAGACTGATCTATTTTTTATGCCTCAACTTAATCGTTATCTTGATTGTCTGTGGACGATGGTTTAACTCTTTGAGGATGATGTCTTATCCTATGCGTCCTGAAGGAGTTGGTCATTATTTTTTTGTTTTGCTTTCCCTCTCCACTCATTTTTTCTTCCTAATTCTACCCCCTCCATCTCCCTACTTCCCCTTCTTCCCCTCGTCCTCCTTCTCTCGGCACCCCTCCCTTATTCTCCTCCCTCCGCATCTCTTCTTCAACCTCTCCCCCTCTTCCCATTTCTCCTCCCCCCCCTCCTCCTCTATCTTCTTCTCCCCAATCCCCCAGCATCCTGACCTGACCCTTCTCTCTTATCACACTTCCCCAACAACTCATAACACCTTCGTCTTCTACCTCCCCACCCCATTACCTCAGTTTTTCACCTGCCTTCTACTTCTCATCCCTCTCTTTCTCTGTTCTACCTTCTATACATATCTTATATCATCCCATACCTCCCATTGTCTCCCAGGTGTAGGGCAGATATGTCTTATTTATCTTTTCTTCCCACTGTTACTCTGACTCTGTCCAACACCCCTCCCTTTTCCTTCTCTCTATTAATCTCCACAAGTTCTAAATCTAAGGTCTCACTGCCTCTCACACATGCAAAGTCCCTCACTGCCTCCCACTCTCCCATTCCTCCCACTTTCCGCCCAACTGTAATGCTTCACGGCCTCCCACATTCCACCCAACTGCCAGGCCTCACTGCCTCCCACTCTCTCATTCCTCCCACTCGCCCCAACTACACCCTCCCACCCCGCTACCTCTCCCTGATGGACGTGGGGCCGTAGATATGACGAGTGGGCCACCGGCTTAGGGAAATGTCGGATTCAATACCTTCCATCTCCCTGCTGCTCATATCCTCCCATCTTATCCCTCATCCGCCTCCTGCTCTCTCTCCCCTCTTTCTTCCCCCTCCCCCTCCCTCCCTCTCCTCTTCTCCTCCTTCGTCCTTTTCCTCCTACCTATTTAGTTGTATCAGTATGCAGCTCTTTATTGCACTTTTCTTTTATTATTTAGAGGTTCTTTTTCTTACAGCGCCTGATTGTTGTATATGTTGGTTGTATTTCCCAAACTTTATCTTCATTCTTGCTTCTGCTCTTCGTCCTTTTCGTAAAAATGTGGTTTTCTTTGTTTTTTTGTTTGTTTTTCTCACATTTCATTTTTAGATTTATTGATAACGTTTCTTTAATATTTTTTTCATTTTTGTTTTGTTTTCTTGCGTCGTTATTTTTATTTAATTGCAGTTATTTTTCACCCCTATTTCTTTACTTTTTTTTTGTCTATTCACCTGTTTATATTTTTCTTGAGTGATTTTCCTTCTTCGAATTTTCTACCTCGGTCGAGTCCTTTATCGGTTTTCTCTATAATTAGGTTTTCTTCATTCCTTCTCTATCTTATTCCTAGATTCTCCTTTAACCTTTTCTACTTCGAATCTTTTTTGTTTGTGTTTTCCTTCCTCCTTTTTATTATTATTTTATTGTATCTCATCTTTTTTAATTACTTCTATGTGTTTTTCTTTTATTTTTCTCCTTCATTCCTCCTATTATCTCATTTTTGTTTGATTATGTTGAGCCTTGCATTGATATCTCCTATATTTATTTGGTTTCTCTATCTCCCTTCTTCTTTCCTTCACTCTTCTCCTTTCCCCTCCTCATCCGTCGAGCCTTGTGTTTATATTCTTGGTCCTTCCCTCCTCCTCTTCCCCGCTCTTCTGCTGCTGGTGGTGGCAGCGCCGGCGGTTGATGGACGGACGGCCGTAGAGATGACGAGTGGGCCGCCGGCTTAGGGAAATGGCCCAGCCGAGGCCATCTGTCTTCTTTATGACACCCATCTTCATTTTCATATCTCATATTTGCATTTTCACGTCTCCTGCGTACATCATGGTCGTTTATAGCTAATTAGGTCGTTATTTCCCTCCCGTAGGAGAGACGTAGGCGCACATGTCATACTGGTGGGAGGGAAGGAACTCTGGGGCGCTGCTGCTGCCGCTTCTGCTCACAGTTGAGGCTTTAATGAACTTCACCAGTTTTCTTTACTTTGCCGGCGATATTCTTGTCTTTATTTTAGCGTGGGTGTTCATTATCACGTCCACAGTCTTTCTCCGAGGGTCGGGGTGGGTGAGTTAGTGGAACGTGGGAGTGTAATAATACTTCTCGGGGCTGGTAGCTACACAACAGCCATTGTGGCCTCAGTGCCCCTAGAAGCAAAGAAACTGTTGTGGTCGGACGCTCCCGATGATGTCATTATTCCAGGTTTATTGTAGTTACCCCTCTTTATTTACCTCTTGCGCCTCTCTACCTCTTGTTCTTCACTTCATTCTCACGTTATACCTCACAGTCCTCGCCCGCTTGCATCTCTCCCCATTCCCCTTTCCTCTCTCTCTCTCTCTTTCTTTCCTCTATCAACCAAAGAGGATTGGAGGTCCCCTCCCCTCCCGTGCACCCCTATCTCTCCCCTGCCAGCCATCCCTTAGTGTAACTTCTCCGGCTTGTGTATGGCATTCCAGGGCAGGTTTATAAAGAGAGGTTTGACACAGCTGTGATAATGAGTGTCGTTAGTACGTAATGGGCAGAGAGAAGAGGGGAAGATTCGTAGGAGGAGGGGAGAGGAAGATTCCCGTGGGGAGGGTACGAAAAGATACCTGGAGAAGAAAAGGGATATTCCTGAGGGAGGGAGAGAGAAAGATTGTAAGGGGAGAGGGGAGGGGGAGATTCCTAGAAAGTGCGGAGGAAAGATTTATCTAGATGGTTAGGAAAATTTAGTAGGAAGGTTTCAAGGGAGTGTGATGAGGTGGAGAGAATGAGAGGAGAGTGTAGACTCAGGGTTGAGGGAGAGGGAGGCGTTAAGGAAGTGGGGAGACAGGAGATGTCTTGGGAGGGAAAGATTCAAGGGAGAAGGAAGGCGTTTGGTGGGCGATATGATGAAGTTTAAACAGAGGATTTTTTTCACCAAGTGTGTGTGTGGTGAGGTTATTAAAGAATGGCTTACTTGAAGATTGGTTGATGTGCCACAATTTTAGGAGGAGTTATGAAGGCTTTCTAGAGAGAAAGGCATTTTCACTTTGCACTACAAGAATACTTAATTACTACAGCTTTGACATTATTCCTTAAGCCTAATTATCTAAGAACAATCAATGTTGCAGAAATTCTTTCATTCGAGTGTTTTTTTTATTATGGGCATTAATATACATAATGAAATTAGTGATTTTCAAAGCATCACAGCCAGGCGTGGGTGAGAAGTTTGTTGTGATGGAACGCAAGGAGGGAGGTGTTGTGAGGGAAGGTAAGGGGGGAGGTGTTGTGAGGGAAGGCAAGGAGGGAGGTGTTGTGAGGAGTGTGTAGTGAGAGAAGGCAAGGAGGGAGGTGTTGTAAGGTGTTTGTAGTGAGAGAAGGCAAGGGTGGAGTTGTTGTTTATGTCTCTGGTGGAGGTTGTGCCGCGCGCCAGCTGCTTCCCTCGCCAGTAGGATCTGTCATCTTCTTAATGATAACGACGCCTGAGCAAAAACCTCCCAGCTCAGAAGGGCCATTCCAGGCTATTGTGAGCGACGGATTCTGGAATATTATGCGAGAATATGGCGACGAGTGAGGGACGGGGGAGGAGGATGAGAGTCGGGGGGGGGGGGTGTAAATTGAATTGTACCGTTGTCTCTATGTTACGAGTTAATGGTGATAATCTACATGATATTTACACTTGTTAAATGGTTGAATCATTATAATGGAAGTGGTTTTGGACACTGAATAGTAGCGATTCTATTTTCTCCTTCAGTTTTTGCCTGAGTGCTGAATGACGTATGGGTATACTCTATGCTATAAGTATTAACCATAACTTTAAGACTTTAAGATGACTGATGACCCCATAGCTACTCCACTTTTTGTTTCTTCTGCAGTTTCGACCATCGGATTTTTCTCAAGGGTGAATAAAAGTCGTTCCTCTCTACATGTGATCCACTGTGAAGAAATACTCCATCAAAACATTTGTTCGAGTCATCCAATATGTACCAACGGCTTCTTAGTAACCGTCAACACACTGAGGTGAGGAGGCAGGTGGACTTCTCTCAGGCCACCAGAGGATGACTACATGATAGTCTTGATAATGGTGAAGGTGGGCAGGTGTGGCGACTTGACATCTTAAGGACTGTTTCTGCAACATCTTAGTCGATCTGAAAATTTCTTGTAGTGAAGTCTTGATATAGAGTTACCATGTATTACCCAGATAATAGTACATGGTTGATTGTGTCACGTAAATTACTTGCATGTTGATATTTGATTTATTATGACTTAATAGAGTATTATTATTTAAAGGTGCTTTGGAACTTGAACTCTGAATTCGACACATTCATTCCTTACTTGGTCTTTTATATTCAATCTCCTCACAACCCGAAGCCAAATAATCTTAACACTTTCAGTAACTCACTGACATTACGATTAGGACTTTCATGCCAGGTATTTCATCGTAATATTTTCCTTGACACATTCTATAAATCCATAGATAGGGGCTTTCGTATATTAATAGCTGATGCCTTTGTTACTCATGTTTCCTCTCGTCCACGTAGACCATATTAGTGTGTGGTATTACTTGTACCATACACTGTACTCTACACTTAACCTAACACCTAATATTTCGCTTAACAGTTTAGAGGTTTCTTTTATCTAGAACTACTAAGGAAAACTACCATAATGTACTATAACTATGAGATATCTAAATCACGACCATTTATATCCTTTATTACAAAAATTTTAAAATACATAGGATTTTAATTATATTCAACGATGCGTTATTGGTAATCTATGTAATGCATTATAAAAGTTTACTTACTAAAATATTACAGTAAATATTTCATAATATATTTTTTTTCTTCTAAATTTGTTGTTTCAATTTTTTTTCTTCATACATTGCAAAAGTTCAGCACTGGAAAATTACTTGGTAACTCCACTTAAGACTTTAGGTATAGTTAGCCATATTATACACTATTACTCCAGCAGCAAGACATCCACCACTCTTCTTCACAGTTTCTTCTTCAACACTCCCTCACTTCCTCCCCAGTTTCTCCTACATTCCTCACCTTTCTTCAGTATAAGTCGGTGTTGAGGTTAATGTCCAGACGTAGGTAAAAACCATCAGTGTGAACCCAAATTGTTCCAGCAGTGTCATGGTAGTAACACTCTTGGTCGAGCCTCATACTATCTTCCACACAATAGTTCTTACGTAACATAAAGTAGCAGAATTTTACTTTATTTTACTTAGATTTTTTATGTTTTGGGGGGGTGGGAGACACGAGAGCTTTTTATGCCATCCTTCTGTATAATCTTTCCACGCTTTACATTGTATCTTTGTATGGAGGGAGAGGTGAGAGTTTGTTACTCCATCTCTCTCCCTCCATACACTCACAATTCCCTCTCACTCACATTATGTGGAGGTGGAGGTGAGAGTTTGTTACTCCATCTCTCTCTCTCCTCATACTCTAATTCCCTCTCACTTACATTATATAAGAGGGAGAGGTGAGAGTTTGTTACTCCATCTCTCTCTCTCCTCATACTCTAATTCCCTCTCACTTACATTATATAACAGGGAGAGGTGAGAGTTTGTTACTCCATCTCTCTCCCTCCTCATCCTCTAATTCCCTCTCACATTATATAAGAGGGAGAGATGAGAGTTTGTTACTCCATCTCTCTCCCTCCTCATCCTCTAATTCCCTCTCACTTACATTATATAACAGGGAGAGATGAGAGTTTGTTACTCCATCTCTCTCCCTCCTCATCCTCTAATTCCCTCTCACTTGTATCCTTCTAACCGTACTTAGAAGTATCTTTCTCTACGACCGCTTATTCCATTTCTTTCTCAAATAAACTGGATTATTATCACACCTGACACCTTTCACAACGAGCTCATTTACATTCACACCTGGTGGGAAAAGACCTGACTCACATACCTGTTAATGTTAGAGTGTTCGTTAGTTCACTTAAATAATTACAGATGTGTGAAGGCTCTATTAATTTGTGGTCATATGGGTTTTAATAAGCTCTTAGACTATATTAACACAATTACAATTAGAATTTAAGCCAATTAGGATAAGGAACCACTAAAATTAGGGCTCTTATTAGGCTACAGGTTCATGTAGGTCCAATCAGAATTAGGACTATGGGAGGGGGGAAGCTCATTGGCCAATAACCGTGTTGATAGAGTTACCGTAAATGCTCTAAACCTTCTTTGTTTATCTCAGAAATGTATATCTAGTTTTCCTCTCGTTGACTTTTTAAGAAATGTATAAGATCTTGTTATGTACAGTATTATCTTTTTTTTTATGTACAGTATAACATGTCTTATATATTACTACCTTGGTCTATACTATGTTCTTGATATATATACTATGTAGCCTGTGTGTTATATGCTTTTTACTTACTATGCATTATGTACAGTTACGGACAAAAGTCTCATCGCCTCTTCTGCTGTTCCATGGACTCCGAGAATCAAACTCGTGAATCCGAAGCATTTATGGACACAATAATACACCAGTGTCTATTGCTTCGGGGTTATAAGTCTGAATCTCGGGGTTCGTGGAGCAACAGGAAGAGGGGTGACAAGATTTTAAACTGTGACTTCCTATTGAAATTGTAAATTATCTTTGTGTTTATTAGGAACATTGTCAAAATATTTAGCACAAACAACAACTTTATTGGTTTTGTATAATTTATATCTGTAATCCTTCAATTAAATAAAATTCAGATTTAAATATTGATTTTCTCTACCACTCTTATCATGTTGTTCTCCATAGGCTTCCCTTCTTCCTACCTACCTCTTTAATTATTCCTCCATCACTTCCTCCTTACTTATTTCCTAGATCTATCCCTCTCTCTCTGTCTCTCCATTACCCTCTATTTTCGTGTCCATCTCCACTCCTCCTCCTCCTTGCTCTCTATTTAACCTCACTCCATTACCCCTTCCTCTCCTACTATCCCCCTCTCTATCCTCCTTCCACTTCCCCTCTCTTTTTCTGAACTTATCCCTCCCCTTCGCCTTTACCTTTTCTCAAGCCTTCCCTCAATTACCCCTCCCTCCCCTCCTCTCCACCCCTCCCCCTCTCCTTCCACCCTCCCCTTTCCCTTCACCTTTGCTCAATCCTTCCCTCCATCACCCCTCCCTCCCTCCCTCCCTCCCTCCCTTATCCTTGGCCCTCCACACCTCTCTCTGGCGTGGCAGGTGCCCGCCCCTTCAGTGTGTTACCATCTCTGGCCAGGTATCTCCCATCAGTAATTCGTAGGAGCCGAGTCAGAGATACCTTAGGTAGTGACCACTCAGCTTGGTTCACGCCGCGACCTGGCATTCATGACCTAGAAACTCAGACCTTTAGAGACCACCTGAAGTTGAAACTATCGTAATGCAAAATGACCAAAACTTGGAAACCAAGAACATGAGAACCAGAACATGGGAACTAACCGTGGGAAAAAGAGAAGAGACACAAACAAACGGAGAGAGAGATATAGAGGAGACAAGAGGGACAGACAGACAAACAAGGAGAAGACACGTGCACAAACACACACACACACTCTCTCTCTCTCTAACTGAGAAAGAGACAGATGAAGAGAGGTGAGAGAGAGAGACAAAAGAAGGGATAGAGAGAGAGATAGGAAAAGGGGAAGGGAGGGAGAGAGAGAGAGAGAGACTTAGTCCCTGGGCTGGCCAAGGTTGAGGTAATGGATGATTATTGTGCTGCAGAAGGTGGGAACTGGTCATCAACTGGCATCATGTCTTTCTAATGCGCCTCATAACTCGGTGTGCAACTCTGGGGAGGGGGTGTGTGGGAGAATGCAGGAGGAGAGATAGGATAGGAATAGGGGGGTGTAAATGACCTCACAACTTCAAAGTCTTTTGTGGCAGCTTTATTCTTTCTAATTAAAATGGTATATCTGGCACGTCGTACCATGGTCATGTCCAGATTATGCCTCCCTGACAATCAATATTTCTGATGTCTGTGTATGGTTATTTTAACATTCACACATAGTCTAGAGTCTCTTTCTCTCTCTCTCTCTCTCTCTCTCTCTCTCTCTCTCTTTTCTTATCTCTCTCTCTCCTCTCTCTTTCTCTCTCTCTCTCTCTCTCTCCACTTCCTATATTTCTTCTTCCTCATGTCTCTTGGCTATTCCCCTTAAGGTCATTCATAAGGTCATGTATGTCTCATTTTTGACTAATACTTAAATGTGTTTAGGTCGTGGGCTGTTTTCCTTCTCTTCACTACCAGTAATTTATTCCGAAACATTTAATACCTATAAACAAGAACATCGGCAGAACATTAATACTGTATTTTATACACAGACACGAACAAAAAAACAAACGAAAACAAAGGAACAAAAACACAGATTTTACACGACATAAACACACACACACACACACACACACACACACACACACACACACACTCACACAAACATAAATACACAAACCACAAGTCGATTAGACACAGGAAATAAACTTAGCACTCTACTAATTTTCCTTGTTTTTTTTTTGTCTCTCTCTTGTCATTGTTTTTGCGACTTATTTAATACATTATAATCTTTCACAAAATTTTAAATGTGTCTCAGGTTATTTATATTAATACCTGCGTTTCTCCTTATTAACTAACTCTAATTACTTTATTTGTTTTTCTGCATTTGTTTCTCATTATTGTATTTGATGTTGTGTAAGATATGTGTTTGTGTGTTTTTGTTCCAGTGATATGTTAATGTATATTGTTTTCTTTGTCATTTATTTCTTTGTATATTTTTTCTCTTAATTTTTCCTTTATATAATTTATTCATTGTCTTTGTTTCTATAATATCTTTGTCGAAACAGGTACTCTCTCTCTCTCTCTCTCTCTCTCTCTCTCTCTCTCTCTCTCTCTCTCTCTCTCTCTCTCTCTCTCCCTTCCAATAGTGCAAAACTTCCCATCTCCACCACTACATTCTGCACTGCCCCTGTCTGCAAAATATACTGTTTATTTCCCCCTTCTCCAACACTAAACCCTTCCTGTCTCCAACAATACTCTACCTTTGTCTCCTACACTAAAGCACCTCTGTCTCCAACACTACACTACCCATGTTTAACACTACATCCTCCCTAACTACAATACGACCTCCAACACTATCTTCCCCACGTCTTCATCACTTAAGTTTCTCTCCTCCACCACAACACTGCAACACACCTATTTTTGTTGTGTTGTCTTCACTTTATTTTTGTTTGTTTGTTTCTTCCTATCTGCTTTTCTTCCCTGTTTATTATCTATTACCAAACATATTTCTTTGGTTTAGTATCGTTAAAAAGTCTCTCTTGTCTGTCTGTCTGTCTGTCTGTCTGTATCCCTCCTTCCCGCTCTCTGTCTGTCTGCCTGTCTATCTATTTCTCTGTCTTTGTCTATCCCCACTCTCTCTCTCTCTCTATCTATCTCTCTCTCTCTCTCTCTCTCTCTCTCTCTCTCTCTCTCTCTCTCTCTCTTTTCTCTATGTATTTTACTATCTTTTACATCATTATTATTCAAGTATCACCTCTCATCCGCTCCTCCTCACCCCCCTTTTTCCTTCTCCCTCCCTCCCTCCTCCATCACTCCACTAGCATGCTCCTCCCCCTTGACGCCCATCTCGCCTTGTAAGAACACAGCCTCCTCCTCCTCCTCCTCCTCCTCCTCCAAACTATTCTCATCCTGTGGTGTCTAGGTAGGCTGGGCTCCTTCTGACGTCCTTTTGACCTTCACTCGTGTTTTCCCTGTTCGTTCTTTTTATTTTCATTGGCCTTCATTTCTCCTTCTCTCTTACCTTCCTTCTCTTCTTCTCTTATTTACCCTCCAGCAGCTCCTTCCTTCCCTCCATCCACTCAGCCCCTCTCCCTCCTCTCTCTCTCTCTCCCTCCCTCTGACTTATCGCCCTCCCTGCACCAGTCATGGGCCGGACTCAGAAACGGACAGTAATTAGTAGGTACTGCTAATTTATAAGACGGACTCTCTCGACCCCTACAAAACTCATCTCTAGACCGACGGCTGTTTGATATATTAATGTTTTACCTCCTCCTCCGTCTCCCTCACCTAGCCCCCTCCCCCTCCTCCTTCCCCTCCTCTTCCCTCAGCCAAACCAACCCCCTTCCTTACCTAGACCCCCAACTTAACCAAGGGCGGTTACCCCCAGCTCAACACTCACAGGTGAGCAACAGAACTCTCGGTGTTTAGTTCCAGTTCAGTGATCTGATAACTCGTATTTGGACGGCATGAGGCTGTGTCGGGCAGGGATCACACAAACAAGGCCACCTCGCATTAACACGGCTTCCTCCAATCCCTCTATCCCCCCTGAGAACCTTAGTTTCAGGGAGGCTTATTAATGGTCTTGCATCGAATGAATGTTGAGTGTGATGCAAATCTTTGCCACTGTGGAATGACCGGGAGAGACCAAAGAATATTGGTGTTGAATAGAGAAGAGGCAAATGAGATTCCCTCCGCACATGAAATACGACCTGAGCAGCTTCGAGGGATGAAGTGCTAAATTTCATCTTCCTTACAGATTAGTGTTTTGTGGTCATTCAGGCTTTGCATGCAGGTCTCGTTTTTCATCACTCAGAGGGAGAAACAAATTTCAACTGACAGCCAAGGTCACGACCCTTGAATTCTTAGGTGTGACGGAACATAAAAATAATTTGGTGGTTTGGGAAACGAAGGTGTCGAATGTCCTGTGGTGACGACGACCTAATGTTACTGTCCTTATTTATTTCAGCAAATACAACAGTTTTAGTTGTTGCTATATGAACGTTGTTGTTCTATATTCTAATACAGTTATCATAGGCGTGAATATTAGATTTATATTATAGTTTTACTGCGACTCATAAGTTGTTTTTAGTAATAAATAATGTTCTTCTTTTATTCATAACGTTCAGTAAGTACTTAAACATATTATGATACTTGTGTACAGACAAATTATTTAAAAAAAGTGAACATTATAATGTATAATCACCTTGTAAGACTCTCCAGGAAGTCTTGTTCCGAAATTTGTAATTCACATCATTTCGAATCAAGTAACTGCCAGGCAGATTATCTCTATGTATAGAACTGTGGTTTAATATTGAACTTATAAAATTTGCAAAATTTACCATATAAAAATATATTAATCATTCTATCCTCCAAAAACTTTATTTAATATAATCTAATTGACAAAGTAAACATAATATAGGTATAGGAACTGACACGATATATTTACAGAGATTTTAATATGATAACAGAACATAAACATTACTCATGGTCATTACTGTGTCACAGCACCATGTATGAACCAAATAAATGGGTAAATATGTACAAGTATTCCTCGACATGTTCCAAACACGTGAACAACCTCGGTGGAGGCTGTTTGGGCTGACAATGAACCTTGTGTCCAATCATCCTTGAAAAACATAAACATATATTTTTGTCCCCACAAATATTTATAGTTTGATCTTGGGTGTTGCAAAGAAGGTGCAATGTTGATCGTGTGAAAAGGCTGATATACTGCATACAATATATACATATAACTTTTTGTTTTAAAGCTAAAACAAAATGGAAATTAGTTCATACTTGGTAATTTTTTCTGTTTCCTATGAGACTTCATTTGCTACATAAAATAACCAATCGATACCTAAATTACGCTGGATAGGGTTAGGTTAGGTTAGGTTAGGTTAGGCAAGGCAAGTAACAGTACCCTTCACTTATTGTCTGTATTAGGATGGTGTACCTGATCACCTCAT